TACACCTCTTGAACCTAATGTCAAGCTTGCACCTATGGATGGCTCTCCACTTTCTGATCCTACTCTTCATCGACAATTGGTTGGTAGTCTAGTTTTTCTTACCACGACACGCTCTGATATAGCATATGTAATTCACATTGTTAGTCAATTTATGGTTGCTCCTTGCTCCACTCATTATGCAGTAGTACTTCGCATTATTCACTATGTTAAGGGAACATTATTTCATGGACTCCATTTTTTTGCCAACTCCTCTCCTGTGCTTCACACTTACTCCGATGCTGATTGGGCTGGTGATCTTTTTGATTGTAGATCTACCATTGGTTACTGCCTTTTCCTTGGTAATTCTTTTATCTCTTGGCAAAGTAAGAAACAAACTATTCCATCTTGCTCTAGTACTGAAGCTGAGTATAGCGCACTTGGTGATATCACATCAGAACTTCTTTCATTACGGTGGCTTCTTGAAGATATGGGCATTCCTCAACCTTTTTCTACTGATTTATATTGTGATAATCAAAGTGCTATGCAAATTGCTCATAATAATGTCTTCCATGAACGCACTAAACACATTGAGGTTGATTGTCATTTTGTTCACCATCATGTCGCACAAGGAACTATTCATTTAGTTTTCATTGGCTCCGCTGATCAACTAGCAAACCTCTTTACCAAGACTCATTTTCTTGGATGTTTGTAATCTTCTTTCGAAAGTCAAGTTGATTTTATCACAACCACCTTGAGTTTGAAGGGGATGTTAAGATGTGAACACAATTATATTCAAAATTATTGTAAATATTTTATACTTCAAAATATTCTCTTTTTATACTTTATATCTTAGAATATTTTCTTTATAAATATCTATATATAGATCATTTTACATATAGTATTATTCAAAAAAGTAATAAACCTTTTTTAAAATTATCCTTTTTCTTTTTTGTTTTCAAATTATTCTTCTTTTTTGTTTCTAGCACTTATAATGTAATTTTTACTTATTAATGCATTTGATACTTGCGGTTTGTCGTTTGCATTCTTCAGTGTTGGAAAAAGGAAAAATAGTCTAATTATGTACCTCATTGTCGAATAAAAAAATATTGAATATCATATGGGGCCATATATTAATATTTTATTTTATTTCAATAGTCTTTTAAATCATGATTAGATTAGATTAATGTTATTTTAACGTTAACAGAAAAAAAAATAAAAAAGAAAGAAAAGATTTTGTTTTGTTTTGATGTGTGAGAAGATTTTGTTTTGTATGGGCCAGTGAAATCCACCATCGGTCATACCGACAAGAAAGAAATGTTAAGATGACATAAAAAAAACAAAGTAAATGTATTTTCATTTAATTATTAAAAATAATTAATAATTATAATTATAAATTATTAATAAATAAAATAATTATTTTTATTATTAATTAGATTAAAATCAACTTACAATTAATCTTTTCAAATATTTTAATAATCATAAATGAATAAAATTAAATAAATTAAACACATTTATAATATTTTATTCAATAATAATAATTCTTTATATCACCATAACATATTCTGTACGTAAAATGCCTTATAAAAGATAACTTAACTAATTAAAATTTTCATAATTAAATTTTGAATAAAGCAAAAAAAAAAATTCTTAAATTATCCTTCCTTACATAATATATTAATTAGATACTAAAAAAAATAAAAAATAAAAAATAAAAAACCGACACACACACATATATTCCGGG